CCCCCCCCCCTTGGCGATGACGGGCGTGACCAGGTGTGGGGGGAGGCGGGTCGCGTCACGAATCGCGCCCGCGCCCGCCCGCGCCGTCTGAGATTGCTTGGGAATGTCCCATTCCCAGACGGACGGAGTTGCCGTGAATCGTGACGTGACCGACGGGCATTGTCGCGAATCATAAAATTTGTGCTCTTCGAGGACTCGACATTTTGCCACCTATACCATAGGTCCTGTTTCGTGGTGGGCTTGCGTTGTGTTAACAGTTGCTTTGCCAGTGGCAGCAGCTATTTTTGAAGCTGCCACCCCTCCGAACGTCTCGCAGACGCTGATGGTGGCGGCAGGGACGGTGGCAAACAGTAGGCTCCCGGTTTGCTCTTGAGCCCTGCCTATTTCCTTTTTCTACCCATCCGTCCCCGTCTTCGCACTGCTGTTTGGATACGGCGCACGGCTCGTTGGAAGAGCCCTGCGGCGGCAGCAGCAGCAGCAAACAGCAGCAGCAGGCGGGGATTGCAGCCGCAAGGCCGCAGAAGGCATCGACAGCAGCGGTTTGGTCGACGGGTCACTGACTCTTCTTGGCGGAGGCGAGCGGGATTGAAGTCTGGCATGTCCCTCTACATGAGGAGTATTCAAACATAGTTTCAAATCAGTTAGCAGACGATTTTTCTATGTTGTTTCTATGAATTCTTGAATATTTTGTCCAATTCCTAATTTTTCATCCACACTCCGCCTGTAGGGGGACATGCCCGACCTAAGGGTAGATCTGCTGTAGGTGAGCGATGTATTTGAAGCAGCCGCGCGGCCGAGGGTCTGTTTGATCCGTGGGTGCGCCGGAATCAGAGCAAAGGAGGCACTCACGAGGCCCAAGCTGATCGATTCTAGAGGTCCAGTGACGGGCTCACCTCGACGAGACTTCCTAGCCTAACTCATATGGCTCCCTTCTTTACAACCTTCATCATCAGTTGTGTGGGGGGTCCTCCATTCTATTGATCCCGAAAGGGGAAACTGACCGATGCACCGATACCGATACCCTCCCCTCGTTCTCGTCCTTTTGGGTCTCCCGTGGGGCCCTCGTCGCCAAGGGTGGATTCGTGTCGGAATCCTGGCCGGAGCGCGTTCTGGGCGACGTGCAGGAAGTAGCGGTACCGATGTTTTGTTGTGTCTCCAGCAGGCATTCTGGAGACGGTGCTGCAGACGTGTGATGAGCATGTTTTTCACCACCACCACCATAAGTTGGAGATGAGAAGGAGGAGGAGGGCGAGGACGAAGAGGAGGAGGAAGAGGAGGAGGAGGAGGAGGAGGAGGAGGAGGAGGAGGAGGACCCCCCCTTCCAACTTATGTGGTGGTGGTGGAAAACACGCCCATCAACGTGAGGTCCTCGCCGCGCCACTGTGAGGCCTCCCGCTTGTCCGTGCGGCAGGCCTGGGCTCCTCGGGGAGTGCGCCTCAGGGCACCGACGGCCGCTTCCTGGCCCTGCTCTGCGGCGCGAGCTGCGTGCTTACGGGCACGTCGCCCGGCCACGGGGCGGTGCCAGGCGTTCTCCCCGGGGTGACCCCCCCCTCAGGCCCTCCTTTGCGTCCCCCACCCTTCTCCCCTCCCCCCACAGTGGTACAAGTATTATTCTCCTCTCCCCCCTGAAACCATCTGGTGCACCCCCCCCCCGCATACTTGCCACGGGCCGGAATTCAGCCGTTTGTCTTCCGGGGCGCTGTTGATCTCTTGCAGGAAATGTGGACCAGTGTGAGGCCCAAGCATTGTGGTTCTAGCAAAGGATGCTGTGCACTTTGTGTATATATATAGGTGAAGCAATATAGGTGATGCAACCCAGTCTATTTTTTACAATCTGTGTTGTGCGAAGGATGCAGTGCGATCTACGTTGTGCAGTCTATGTCTTGCGATCTATGTCGTGCAATAGATGTGGTACAATATATCGGGTGCAACCAGTCACTTGCTCAACTTGAAGCTGTCCTCTCCACAGCTCGTGCAAACATCCCACCCTCACAACCGCAACTTGGTCACATGACCTCTTCAGACCGTGACGGTGGGTACCAAATTGGCACTTGGCAACGGCACCGACGCCGACGACGACAGCGACAACGACGACGACGCCGACACCGCCGACAACGACTACGACAAGACCCACGACGTCTCCAACGATTTCGACGACGACGACAACGACGACGACGACAACACCGACGACGGCGACGACGCCGACGCTGGCGACGACGACGACGACGATGACAACGCCGACGACGACGAAGCTGCCGACGACGACGACGACGACGACGACGACGACGACGACGACGACGACGACGACGTCGCCAACAAAGACGACGACGTGGGAGGAGGGAGGACGACGACGGCGGCGACGACATCGACGAGGGAAGAGGGAAGACGACGACGACGACGACGACGACGGCGACGAATTAGGAGGGACAACGACGAAACGCCGACGAAGACGACGAGGGAGGAAGGACGACCACGGCGACAACGACGACGGAAACGACGACGACGCCGAGACGACGACGACGACGAGGAAAGACAGAGGACGACGACGGCGACGACGACGACGACAAGGGAGGAGGGAGGACGGACACGACGACGACGACGCAAGAGCGCGCGCGCACGCTTCTGTTGAAAATCCGTGTTGCGAAACCTCTTGTTTTTGTATGTTTTTTGGACACGATTTTGCAATCCTTCCGAAACCGAAGGTTTTTGAAGGATTTCGGTATGCGCGCGCGGCGACGCGCGCGTCTGCACAGGGTTCTCGCGACGGCACGCGCGCAAGGACGCTCGAAAGATTTCGACATGCGCGCCCGCGAAGCCCGTTTGATATTTGTTGTTCTGAAAATATTGAGAAAACAATGGTTTCTTAAGATTTCGCAAGAGCTCGCGCGTAAGCTTTTTTAGACAATCAGTGTTGCGAAACCATGCGTTTTTGTATGCTTGTTGGAAACTCGATTTTGAAATCCTTCCGGAACCGCGGGTTTTTGAATGATTTCGGCATGCGCGCGCGACGATGCGCGCGTGTGCGCTTCGTCCGTTTTTTTTTTTTCTTTTTTTTTTTTTTTTTTTTTCTTTTTTTTTTTTTTTTTTCCTTTTTCTTTTTCTTTGTTTCTTTTTTAAAATAATTTATATATATATATATATATATATTTGTGTATATATATGTATATATATAGAAAGTCTTTGATTTCTGATAAACGAGAGGGCGCGCATAGTACTTTGTGCAGAGAATGGCGGGGGGGAGTGATACCAGCTTGGCTGGGATAGTACAAGTTCATATTTCGGATGGACGAGTGTGTATAATAAGTATACAATAGAAGTACCCCAGATGGGAGATCGTTAATTCCGGGGGGGGTCGAGTCTAACTCTATTCCTCTTTTAGAAAGGAGAATTCATGTGTTGCAATTGGTTTAAACAAGTGGGTTGACACATTCGATGCTCTTGCAAACATCCCACCCGCCCACCCGCAACTTGGTTTGCAAAACCCATGCGGTGGCGATTGCGATGAGTGCTTGGCGTTGGCTGGTGCATCCCTGCGGCCGCGCCGACCCACGCACGCGCGCGCAGCAGCCAGCTAGTTTGGTGCGACCGACGAGGCCGTGGTGGCGCTGTCCGCAGGGCACATCCCAGCGGGCACTTCACTGCCGGTCGGCGACTTGGGCTGGCGCGACATCATTGCATCGTCGACAACGGTAGACACGATAATGATAGTAGCGATGTTGGTGACGATGTTGGCAACGACGACGGCCCGGCCAGTGCGGGCGCCGGTGCTGATCACGCCGACGGTGATGACGTCGTCTTCGCGTCGGTGATGAATGTTTTGGAGAGAGTTCGACATGGCTGCGCTGCCGACGCGCGAGGGTGGCCCGCATGGTATTCTTGGACGCGGATCGCGCCCCCCCCCCCAGTACGCGCGCGAGGGCGCGCGAATGATGTCGGCATGCGGCGCGAGAGGTCTGTTGGGCAGAATTCCATGAACATGTTGTAAAGCCCATGGTGTTTTAAGACTTCGCAAGAGCGCGAAGGCACGCTTTTTTGAGAAATGACGTTGCGAAGCCATGTTTTTTTTGGGGCGCTCGGCTTTGAACTCGTTACGGATCCGAAGTTTTTTGACGGACTTCGGCACGCGCGCGCGACAACGCGCGCGCGTGCACTTCGCGTCATTTGTTGCAGAGGGTCCTTCCTCGACGGCGCGCGCGCAGCGGCGTTCGAACGATTTCGGCATGCGCGCGCGAAGCCGTGAAAAATACAAAAAAACGAGAACGCGTGGGAACATCTAGCGTTTTGTAAAGGATTCGCAGGAGCACGAGCGCGCGCTTGTTTGACACTTGATGTTGCGAGACCATGTGCTTATTTATTTGAATATGTATGCATATATACATGTATATATATATACACATGTATATACATATAAATGTGTATACTTCTATATATGTGTGTGTATATTGTTGTGTGATGACACCCGGCACTCGTTGCGAAACCGAAAGATGTTTGAAGGACTGCGGCATGCGCGCGCGACGACGCGCGCGTCTGCACTTCGTCCCATTTGTTGCGGCGTGTTTTGTTCGCGACGGCACGTGCGGAAGGGCGTTCGAACGATTTCGACATGCGCGCGCGAAACCCGTGTGGTAGCATTCTCTGACAATGTGGGAACAGTTATAGTTTTGTAAAAAAATCGCAAGAACACGAGCGCAGGCTTGTTTGAACATTGATGCTGCGAGACCAGTTTTTAA